CCGGAGTTACATACATACATACATACATACATAGGTATATAAAAACACGATTTTTTAATAGATATTTTCAAACTTCGAGTACCAAAATAAAATGTATGTATATGTACCACATATTATATGCTAAACTCAATTAAAACTAAAAAAAAAAAGTTTGGTAAATGTATACATAATTGTTAGCTGTAATGTATGTATGTATGCATAAGCCTGAAAAGGAAGAAATGAAAGCTTCATAGAAAAGCAAGTTGCGCGAAAATTTTTAATTAATCATAAGGTAATAGAAATGAAAAAATCATCAGTGAAAATTAGAATTAATACATAAATTAGGACAACACTTGAAAACACACACACACACACACACACTTGTGGCACATGAATTGAGTATGTAACAGTAAATTATTCAAAAGTAAAAAAAAAACAAATCAAAAGCAACCAACCCCACAACTGGCAATGAGAATGCAGTTAATTATTAACTAAATCATAAAAAAAAATAATAATTTACATGTGTGTGGAATGGAATTCAACTAGTCAAATTGTTTAAATTTTAAGCTTAACGGTGTACTGTGTATGGAACCAGATATGTAATAGTTACGAGTAACTCAACAAATGCAATGCTGCATTGACAGAGAGAAACTGAAAAGAGAGAAGTGAGTGGAAAACAAGAAGTACATAAAATTAATTAAGTTAATTGTTATACCCAGCAAATAATTGTAAAGTACTAACCTTAAACAATTTATGTGCCCGAATACCAACTCTATGTGAAAGATGAGTCGAGCAAATTGGTCAGCAGTAAGAGTACCAAACATTTCAAGGAAATAAATGTATGTATGTATACAAATGGTGTAGTAATTATTTAGACACATAAAATTGTGTTTACTCAGATGTCGTTTTTGCTGCTCTACGTAACTGAAATAAGTAATAAAATAAAACATACAGATACATATATAACAAAAAAATGTTTTATTTCTAATGCAAAAGGATATGAACGAAGAAGTTGGCGACGTAAGTATAGCAACCACTGCCTTAAATGCTTTCAATGCGTTATGTCCTTTGAGAGCTAGCAAGCATAAAACGAGACTAACCTGGTAGATCCTGCAGCTGGTAACTTTTTGGATGCAGATGAAAGCAAACCTTCTACAACAATATGTAGCGTTCATTTGTGATCGCAAAGTTTAGAAAATTGTATCTAAAGGTATGTATCTACATTAGATTGGTCCAAAAATGCATATGAGAAAAAGTCGGAATTCTTATGCTCTCACTTCTTTACCGAAAAAAAGTATAACCTTATTTTATTATTTAGAAATCAAAATATATTTAGAGTTCGCTCAAAGCGCCCAAAGTTTTCCATGTATTTTATACGGAGGAAAAAACAAATTTTCATAGAAATGGTATAGAATTCTTATGAATCAATATTTATCTATCGGATTCGGGTGGATTCTAAATTCTAATAGTGCAAAAAATTTGCGTAACTTGATCACATAAATATTAATAAGAGTATTAAAGTTTCCAAAAATCTCTTAATTTATGGTTCTTTTATAATTTAAAATTTTAGTATAAAAAGTGCCAGTTTTAGGTTGCTAGAAAATTTCGTTGATTTTTGGCTTTGTTTTTTTTTTTACGGTTTCACACATTTTTCGCGATTTTTTAACAACTTGAAACTTGCACTTTATTAAACTAAAATTAAAAGCGATACAAAACTGCAAACTCAGAAAATCTTAAAATATATACAGGGTGTCCCAGAAGTAACGTGCCAAACTTTAGGGCAAGGTAGGTGGGTGGGGTGAGCTCACTGATAAACAAAAAATTTTCAGGTAAAAGTGTCACCGTTTTTGAAATATTTACATTTTTTCGAATTTAAAAAAAATCGTGCCTTTTCATGTGTTTTCTTTAACTGCAACTACAAACCGGGCAATACTTAGTAAATTTTTTATGTAAAATACTTCCAAAAAAACGGAGCCGATTTTAAGGCAAGCAGAGTAGAGGAGTTGATTTTAAAATTTCGTAAAAACCGGAGAATTCTATGTATATACTTACATATATCGGAGTAATGTCCATAAGTCCGCTGGGCATTACACATTGCATACTTCCCAACAGCGATATGAGTTCATATGGCCATATAAAGAGCTAGAACGTTTTTTTGGTTTACTTAATTGAAAAAAAAAATTATTTAAATTATGGTGTTCTTCAAGCAACAAAAAAAATTGCGCTTAAATGAATGAAAGCGCCCAGTCATTTTCTATTCACAATTTTTTTTACTGGTATTCCCGCATTTGGTTTGCTGCACAGAAGTGGAATATAAATAATAATCAAAAAGGAAATACATATTTCTTTCGAATAATATCCCCATTTTCATAGCCCCCACTGTAATGTGGAAATAGCGTTGCGTGCTCTAAGGCGCAGCTGGTTAAATGTTTCGCTAACTTAGCCAAGACCACAACCTAGTACTGTGGAACGTGGAGTGAAAAGATTAAGGTGACCAGATGCGAGAATTGTAAATTTTTGTGGAAAATATGAAAATCCAATTTATTATTACATATTTATTTAGTTTTCGCTTGAAAGTGGGAATTTTAATTTTCCCTAAACAAATAACGTGATAAGATGGAGGGCAGAACCATTTTGGAGTTTGTCTATTATATGCATATGTTAGGGCGTAGTTTCGTTGAGCTCCTAAACTGACTGAGCTCAAAAAAGACTTTGACAGCCCTTCTTTTCCAGTTGGCGCCGACTCCACAACCCATTGGGTATCCTACATCGAGTCTTTCGTTCCCAGCGACTAGCATACAATTATTCAAAAAGTTATNGCCCAAGAAACCGTAGGTATAAAATGGTTTTCGAGCCAGCAATTTTTTCTATCTCATTATTTTTTCAAAAAGTGGCTCACCTGTTGAAACAACTATATTGAAAACTAGCCAAAATGTGTATCTTGGGTTTTTGGGGTCGACAGAGGGCGCTGTCGTGCTTTTTTTGGATTTTAAGGCCTTTTTTCCGAAAATCGACCAATTTGACCAAAATGCTGATCTAATGAAATTGCTATTGATATCTTCCAATCCTATAATCATATTACTTCGACACAACGTAATAAAAAATAAATAACGGGAAAAGAAGTTGCGGCAGATCTTGAAGGTCTTTTGGTATAAATAGTTTTAAGCCACTTTCCATTGTTTTTCGAAGTCAAATTTTAAAATGTATATTTTTTTATTGTCTATTGTTTTATTTATAAAATAGTTAAAGTTTAATCAAATTTTCAAGTGCCGTTATCTCGAAAACCGGAAGCAATCTGTTAAACGGGGATGTCATTGAATTTAGAACATCCCAATTAAGTGACAAGAGTTTCACAATCTTTTCTGAAAATTTAAAACTTGCACCGCGTAGTCTGCACCCAGCTTATTCTTTTGTTTTCTACTGCAGCGATCTAAGTGTTTATTTCTCGTCTAACTTTTGAAGCACTTGATGAAAATCAATTACATTTATATTTATCGATTTATTATGAGATTACGAATAGAATCATATATAAAACATAGGTGTGCCCACAAATAAAAAAAAATTACACTTTTTGTTTTGAAAGTGTACCTGTTTTTTTTTAGATTTGCACATATACCGTATATTTATCTTACAATACTTTATAATTTGAAAAATATATTTCCACTTAACCAGTAAATTTTCTTAAACCTCTTTAGTTTGATAACCGTGTTTTGATATTTTTTTTTTTCATTTTATCCTGTTAGCTAAATTAATTTTCTTCAAACAGGTGGCAATCCTCTTCAAAAATATTTTCTGCATAAAATTTCCTAACCCTCTTTAGTTTCATACCCATATTTCAATATTTAATTTATCTTGTAAAATATCAAGTATCATGTAATATCATGTCATGTATGAACACAAGTCCAGATATAAGCTTGGATCTTGAGAAAAATAGGTATTCAAGTTAACCGGGATGTATAATGTACAGACATCCGCCTGTTGCAATTTTATCATACGTGTAGATTATGACTTCTATATTTTTTAGTGTTTTTTTTTTAGTTGGTTGTTGACTTTTTTAATAAAATTAAACTACACAAATTTTGATTAAGCAATAATAACATAAATAGCGGTTAATAAAATGCAAAGGAAAATAAAATATATAAATAAACTAATACAAAATATAAAAAAGAAAACGTTTTTAAGCAATCCGTGTATCGAGTATTGAACCTGTGTCCTACGGAATTGTTGTACGCAGCTCTTACCGCTCGGCTACTGCGGATGCAAAACCCGCCAGTGCTGTCATCGAAAATTCTCCTGATGCCCATTAATTTTGAGGTTTAATTACCGAAGTAGGTAATTCCGAATTAACGAGATGATTCGGATCAACGTTGTTGTCTGT